TTTATAAGTGTCAGCATTTATTATAATGCATATTTTGTAATTGCATGCGTAATTTAAATGTCGATTTCGATTAATATAATATAACGACTTTTTGACTATAATTTTTGAATTTTTAACATAATATATTTTTTTATAGAAATTAAATAAAATACAAATATAAAATTTAAAAATTGTTAAATAATTAAAATATTAAGTTAATTTAAAATTATTTTGATATTAATAACTGAAATTATTCTGTTTATATATATATATATATACATATGTGTGTGTGTATATATATATATGTATATATAGTATTCCATTTAACGCAATAAATGATTTTTCGGCCATTTGCTATCTAAAAATAAAATTTTAAATAAAAATTTATCTGTACCAAATATACAAGAAATGATGATAATAAAAATTTTGAAAATAATTTGTTTTCACAGCAAAATCAAGGTCACCTTGAATTTTTCAAATAAAATCAAATATTTTTTTTATCATCATATTGTAGAAAATTTTGAAACGAATTTAAAAAAATAATATCATACTTTTTTAAACACAATATTATGTTTAAAATAACGGAAATAGAAATATTTAACTTTTTGTCACATTTTACTTTTGAATAATATAAATATATTTAACCTTAAGATTATTGAATGTAAACATAGAACATTGCTTAGAAGCAATTATTAGTGTGTCATTGCAGTTTCTTTACTAATTTTTTTTTATTTTTTCACAAATTCAATATTTTGAATATTTAATAGAAAGTCAATATTTTGCAGCTATATGTTGTTTTTCTGTATAATATTAAATGATATCGTAATGATCATACTGAATAAATTAAAAAATTTATTGTATTTGATATTTCATATGTATATTTTCATTGTACTATTATTTTCATTGTACTAATATTCTATTAAAATATTAATATATTTTTGATTATATTTTTTAATTTTCATTTTACTTATATCTTTTGAATTTTTCTTTCAATTTTATTAATCCATCATTCTCATGTTTCAGTTACATAATATTGTTATATACATAAGAACATGTCTGATCCAAAACCATCTGGAATAAGACCACCATCAAAAATTGGTCGACCATGCAGCAATTTACCACCAAGACCAGCAGTTCCACCATCACCTCCAAGACCATCAATGAGTAAGTCTTTAATAAATTTATTTATTACACATTATATTATATATGCATGTCTTGAAAAAAATTATATAATTTTATTCACATACATATTATTTTCTTAGCTTAAATTTTAATGTATTTTGTATGTTTAATGTTCTTTGTCTGCTACATGCAAAACATTTAATTTTTAATAAGAATTTCTAAATATTTCAAAAAATGGCATAACTATACACAGCTGTGTGGTTTGGTTAAAATAATTTATTTGAGAAGGTAATGCTAAATATTATATATAGATAATATCTAATCACACAAATATATTTGAATTTTATATCATCACAATATATACTTCATTATATTATTTAAAATATAAATATTTTATTTTATTCTATTTTTACAATATTATTTATAAATGAAAAAAGAAAAAGAAAAATCATTTTATATTTATAATCTGCATTGATAATAAAAAATTTAAACCAATTTAACAAATCATCGAGCTTGGTTCATACCTAGCCCAATGTATACATCAAGCGAGGAAACGATACAAATAAAGGGTTACAGTATGAAGCTGGGATCCGTTAATTCCCCACACCAAGTAAATGAGTACGCCCACGAGACCCTGAGACGAGCGTGAACGAATACTTTTACAAGCCCGAACTCGCTAACTTCTTGCGAGTCGTTCTTCCACCTCTCAGCGCAACGCATCTCGTCCGAGCGATCTGGTAAATATATCGACTTCTCATTAACAAATCTATGATCGTTATCGGTTACCGTCAATTTTGTTTCATTGAAGAAATTACAGATGCAATGGTAAAATGAATCCCTATTTAATTTTGTTGTTACTAACTTTATGATCATTGAATGATACACAGTATCATTTTTGCTTTTTGCAAGTAAATTGATTGTGTTTTCTGTTATGATGTTTTTTTTTAAAGCATTGGTGGATTTTCTTGTTGAATTCTTTATTAGGATTTATTGGAAGTTGATTTTTGTTAAGGTTTTATATGTTGTTCATCCTTCATATTTGAAGCTATTGATTATTTCTTAAAGATATAGATATATTTTAAAAATATTATTTTATTTCATATTTATTTTATTTCTTTTTCTCACTATTATAAAATTATATTTGATAAAATAAATTAAAATGAACTATTGGTTCTATCTTCATAATGGATATTTAACTTTGAAATATCAATTGTATCTTTAATTCTCTTGAATTTCCAAATACAGTTCCAATACAATACAATTCCAATACAATTATCAAATATTATTGTTTCTTATTTTACAGAAACATGTCATATAATTCTATTATATCATTATTTATAGAACTTAAAGTATCTTTTAAACTATACATCAAATAATTTCTTTAAAAATTTGTTTACTTCTTTAAGTTATTCCCATCATCATCACTTTTTAAATGTTTCTCCAACATCGTATATAGGTACGAATTCAATCTTTTTTATAAAGATTAAATTTTGATCTTCTTTTAGAATAGCCGCAAAATCTATATACTAATCTATTCGATTATTCATGTCGCGCGGAGCAGAAAGAGATGCTAGCCGCGTACAAAAGCTCCTGGTCTCGCATTGAGGGCAGCTATCTTGCCTTATTGGTTCATCTAGTGACTTCGACTAGGAAGAGACCGCGACGCGTGTAGTGCCGGTGCAGTCATCGTCGTATGACGCACATTACGTTATGCAATTTGCATGTGTTTATTGTACGCTCAATTTCTAATCGTGCATTCCGTCTTTCCTCCCACGTGCTTGCCATGCTTTCCATTTCGGGCAGAGATTTTCATGGCGTCTATCTTGCACCCATGATCAGTCGCGCACGTATTGCTGATCGGGTTCGAGTTTCGCAACACGATAGAAAAGCTCAAGGTAACGATGTCAATCGATTTCAATTCCACATGGAAACATACGTGGATACAATTTTTCGATATCTGATATTGATTATTAAGGAAATTCATAGTGATCCATGACTTTAAAATATTGATACTTAACATATCAAGATTAACATATTGAAATGTTATCCATAATTCTGTATTAAAAAAGATCACAAAGAAACTATTATCTTTTGTTTTTATGACTTTATATTATTATATTTTTATTATATTTTTCCTATTGAATTTGATAAGAATACTATTGAAGAAAATCGTGAATGTTATTTATTATAAATTTTATTTTTTTATTTATTTGATATGATATTAGATATATCTTTCATTGAAATTTTTTAATAATTTTCTAATATTACAAGTTACAATTAAATTTCTAATATTACAATTTATTAAAAATGTTAATAGACAAAAGTTAACAATTAATTTTTCATTCTCTTATTTAGAATGATCTATGATCATATCAAGAATTCATTCTCATTGCTTGATTAATTATCTTCAATGAAGATTATTCAATGCCTGTGTATGATGTTAAGATTTTTTTCTATGGTTCTCGATAATCAATATTTATAAAATTCATTAAGTAGTACAAACATATGATACAAATGTTTACACATATTTTTTCTTTAAATTTTATTAACATAATCATATCTTCATAAATATACTAATCTAAAATGATGATCTTTCCATCTGATATAATCAGTTTCATGGTTTTCAATAATAATATATATAATATATATATAATAATAATAGATACTATCGGCTAAATAGATGAAGAATGAAACTGAAAATATTGCTCATTTTAGATTTCTTGATATTTAAATCGATAACGGCCGGTTTTTAAATTGATTCACAAATTTGATTTATTTTTTTATTAGCGCCATTAATATAATATGTAATATGTTGTAATTCATTATCTCTTTTATTATTGATCAGACATCATTTAGATCCAAATATAATTTTCTATGGTCTTGATATTTTCTTAAATGACTTCATTATTTAAAATGCAGAAAATTTATTGGGAGATTATATTAAATTTCTTTTTTGTTGAAAAATTATATTTGTATTTTATGTATTGGATTGGAGAAGAATTTATATTTAAATGTTTGTTGTATAATTTTTCATAGAAATATTTTTAATTATAAATTTTAATTAAGAATTTAAAATAAAGAAATTTATTTTAATTAGGATTCATTTTCATATTATTTAAATTTTTTTATAATCTTTTTTATTTTCAATTTATTATTAATTCTAATAACATAAGTTTTTAACATGAATAATTTAATATAACTTCAATATGTTATTTTAAAAATTAAATGATATCGTAAGTTAATGATATTGAGTAAACTATGAAATATAAAATCGAAAAAATTTGAAAACTAATTTGATCAAGATTGTTTCAATGATATTGAAGAAATGAATTATCAGAACTTTTTTATAAAGATAGAAATCTGAATTCTCTCAATTCAGTTTCTATAGTTTTAATTTCCAAATAAATCTCATTAGAAATGTCTAAACTTTTAATTTCTAAAAAATTGAAATCATTAAACTCTCCAATTTGTTAAGAAAAATTTGATACGTCAGCATTCATTGAGTATGATTGAAAATGATTCTGAAATGATTCTGAAACAGAGATTATCAAGCTACAATTAAATGTTCATTAGATTAGATTCCAGGAACAAATTGCTATCTGACAACTATAATATATCAATAGTAATCGAATCGATACTACTATTAACCTTGTTTACATATGGATCATCCACATTCGTGCGGAACCAAGGTATCTTGGATTGTATGACTACACTACGTATCTTATTACCAAGTATACTATATGTTAAGCGGTCAAGGTATTTGACACAATACAATGTTTATTTTAGTACTCTCTACTCTCTCGTGTAGTATATTTGTCTTTAGAAATAGAGTAAGAAATCCTACTGTACTATATTATATAGTTGTTCATTGTATATAGGATTTACCTGGATTCAATTGGTCGTTGGACTTGCATTGTTTTTTCAGTGTACTCTTTTTTTTTTAGTGACTCATGTCTAACAATTTGATGCATTAGACGATGATGCATCGATCTTTATATAGCGTTTTGAAAGAACTACGTTTTAGCATTTGAAGATTGATTTTATAAGAATACATGAGTTAATATTTAAATCAAAACTTTGGATTTGGCATTCATTCTAGGATTTTTATTATCATTATACAATAATTTTATTATTAAATATAAACTATTTGTATTATTTTTTACAATCTATTCAAGAAAAAATAATACTTCTTCATTATTTTTTTATTGTTTTGATATTATTCACTTATCTTCTCAATTAATCGTCCTATTAATTTTTTATTACTTACAATAATCGTAAAAAAGCATAAACAATGAATCTATTATTACTCTTTTATATCTGTACATTACTTGCTTATTATCCAAATTACACATTTTGTCTCTACTTAGTTTTTACTATCATTCAAAAAATTGCATAATTTATTTAAATCTTAAATATTTTGTTTAAAATATCCTATGATGAAAAAGCATCTTTATACATTTTTATATGCATAGTTTTATATTCTATCGTTTCATTTTAATCGCGAATCAATCTCATCGAACAGAAAATTCTACCTACGCAAACGACCTACTACCACTGGCTCGCCCACCAACCACTCATGAATAGCTAATTAAATCGCGAATCGTGACATTTTTCTCTGATTTTTATCATAGGATAGTAGCAAGCTTCGAGATAATACATTCGTTCTTACGTTCTTATTGAATTATCATTGAGAAATCTATGATATAGAAAAAAAAGAAATTCTATTTTTTAATTGAATAATTTAGATTAAATGATATAATAAAGTTTAAAAAATTCCATAAGAATAATATTTTATAGTATTATATTATATTTTATGATATTATATTATATTATATTATATTATATTATATTTTATGAAAGAGATTGATCCATCTCAAATTTTATTTTATAAATAACTTTATAATATTTTATAAAAGTTTCACTATTAATCATCACACTTATTATATTGATTTTATATCTACATTTTCTTCAAATTTAATATAATTTTAATTGATAATTTTATTTAATAATTTAAGGTGTATATATATATATATATGAATTTATATTATTTAATTATCATAAAAGGGTTAAATATAAAATCCATATAGGCATAATTATCGATTCGAACACACCTCGTTGTGATCTCTTTTACATAATACTTTGCTTAATAACTTGGCCCATAGGAAATAGACTTCCTCTCTTACGTATCATCCAATTGTAATTAAAAAACCTATTATTATTTGTTTTATCATGCATAACGCATGATCGTAATATATGAATCTTCTGGCTACATTACAGTGACGTTCATTTAATTTTTTTTTCTTATTTCATTTTTATTTTTTTATGATGTTCAATCCTTGAACAAGGGTTGAAAATAAAATGCGGTAAGCTTGTTTGTTCCGTGAAATTATGCTTTCGTTTTGTATGATTTGCATTGTTTTGCATTGTTTTGCATGATCACAGGCCAAATGGATCATCTTTGGGAAACGCATGGCCGTCGATTAAGCGAGGCTGGCCTGCGCAGAGGATCAGGTAGGTGCTTTTTTTTTTTATTTTTAAATTTATTTTTTATCTCTTATATTTATGCATTATGTCCTAGTACATTTCAATAGAGAGATGTAAAGTTTATCGCCTGTTTTTTAAACATTTAAATGTATAAATAATAGATAATTAATAGATAATATAAAATATAGGTATATGTATATTTTTTTAAATTGTCAATTAGATCTTTTCCTTAATTTTGAATGCAGTAATTAATAATATAAAATTTAAAATTAATTATTCAAAATTTGTATTGTTATTTAGGAAAAGAATTTAAGAGAATGTACAATGATTGAATGTATATGTAGAAATATGTAAAAGATTTATTTTATATGCGTTTTATAATCGCATAATTCCTTCATTAATACGTGAATCACGTAGTTTCGCTGTTATATTGGCATTTCCAAAAATGTGATTTCCAAAGTATTTCAATCAACACATCTATGATCACAGATTTTTTCAGATATGACTAATCTTCTTTAAAATGGGCGATGGCTTTCGCATCACTCTACGATAACAATAATTATATACGATTATTGCATCGTCTTTTTTTGCGAATCTTCTCGTAGCTTTTTATTGTTGCACGTACGCTTGAAATGGCATCATGATTTAATTAATAAACAAATAAAAAAAATAAAAGATTTTAAGTATTCCATCCGGATAAGAGAGTTTTCTCAACACTATATTAAACATCAAAATATATATATATATTT